GGGGCGGGCGGGAGCGGCTCTGGGCTCTCCCGGGGCAGCGGCGGCCGATGCGCTGCGGCTGGTGGGCGGCCCGGAAATGCGCGCCTGCCGCGGACAGGGGGCTCTGCGGGGCGGCGACGGCCGGATGGCAGCGCGCACGCAGCCCGCGGCGGGATCCATTGTGGCCGTCGCTCCGCCCCCCGGCGGGGGCGGGGTGTTGGGGGTCAGGGTTGTCCCCGGCCGCGGCCACCTTCTTCCGGAGCTTCAGTTCGCTGCCCCTGTCGAGGAGGAGGAAGCGGTGGGGGTGGGAGGGAGCTTTGTTGGCCCCGACTCTTTGGTTCCTGAGGGACACCTTCAAATTCAAAGGCCGTGAACTTCACACGTTCGGCGGCCCCTGGAGGGTCGTGAGACGGTCTCCCCGGGCTCGCTGGAGAGATCGGGGAAAGAGGCCCCTTGCAGGCCTTTGTCTAAAGCCCGGGACAATGGCTGGGGCTTTGGGCCGCCAGGGTCGGAAAGCTGGGCGGTTCAAACCTGGGCGAGAAAAGCCGGGCCCTGTCCACATCTCTCCCCAAATAAAAGCAAGGGTGATGCTATTTGAAGTGCAGATGGCTAGAAAAGCCCTCTGGGAGATTCTGGAGCACAATCAAGTTTGAAACCCACTGCTTTATTAAAATGCAAGCAATTACCAACGTACTGTTTATAATTCGTCCCCCTCCCACCTAAGGCAGCATAGTGAGCCACAGTGCTCTGCACTTTGCTCTTTTCATGCAGCATCTTCTGCAGACCTTTCCATGCCCCTACACAGCAAGTATCCCTTCGTCTGCAGGGCTATTCCATTGTGCATCCAACTTGTCCCCTACCGATGGCCATTTATGTTGTTTCCAATCCCTCACTATTACAAACAGTACTGCAATGAGGGTCTTGGATCACTTCTCACTTGCCACCTGTGTGGGTATGTCATAGTGCTTTAAAATGATTGTCTTTGCTACCAAGGAGATGAAATAGTCACATGGGTTGACTTTTTGACCTTCTATTAAATGCTAAATATCTCTTTTAAATTGCTTTCTGCACAAATCACAGCCTAGGTGACAGCAGGTACATATCTTCCCTTCTAGCACTACCATGCTCCCTCCAACTCCCAACCCCTTTCTCAGGGCAGAGGCAGCTTCCTCCACGGAGTGGCTTGGATTTCAGTCCCTCTCACCCTCCTTGCTCTACACCAGGGTTTCCTGACCTCGGCACTGTTGACGTTGTAGGCCACCTAACTCTTTGCTGTGTGTGTGTGTGTGTGGGGGGGTGCTGTCCTATGTATTGTAGGACATTTAGCTGCATCTCTGGCCTCTAAGTACTAGATACCAGTGGCACCCAGCAAAGATGTCTCCCGACATTAAGTGCCCTGGGGACAGTGGGGGTGGGTGGGTGTTAAAATCACCCCCTGGTTGAGAACTATGGCTCTAGGCAGATGTACCCCCATGAGGACCCTATTTCCCACCTTTCCTCTGTCTGGCTCTGTGATGCTCAGGCCATCAGCTGTTCACACAGGCACTGGCTCTGTGTCCCTCCCTAGCCAGCACAGGGCTCCTCTTGGCATCCAGAGCAGCCTAGGGCAGCCCTGCTCAACCTGAATATGCAGGAAGACACCTCTGCAGTCCAGTCAGGGGGATGGATGGGTCCTGGCCTGGCCTGGGTTCTCTAAGGCATCTAACCAGGGCCAACCACGGCCCTGAGCTTCCTTGTCACCCTGACTCACTGGAATGGAGCATCAGCCAATGCGTAAACAGTGAACTGGCCACTCTGGTCACCCCCACGTAGTCTAAACTCCTCTCCCTGCTCTTTGGTGGCGTCCAGAGATTTCTCACCCTCCCCAACCTTCTCCCTTTTTGCTGAGTCTCCTGAGATGGTTTACGCCAGTGCATGGCACACAGTCAGTTCTGGCCCTCTGACGTGCCCAGAGCATCTGCTTCATACTCTAGGCAGAGGCCTGCCCCTCCTCCTCCTCTCGAGTCCTCCCTGTCCATCCCAAAGAACCAAGATCTAGCCACTCCTCCTCACTCTGACCACTCTGGACATCTCCTGCTCACCTGAGCACACTCTTCTGAGTTGGCCAGCTGAGCACATGGCACTTCATTCAGCTGGTTTTGCCTATTTTCCATCTGCCTCTTTGTTTAGCCCCCAAACAGGTCAGTATACTCCTGCCTTCCTGGAGGGCTCTCCCAGGTGCAGTCCCTGGTTGCTATTGTATTTCTTGCAGGTAGGTTGCAGGTGTAGGCTTTAGAGGCAGAATTCTGGTCTGATGCTAGCTGTGTCACCGTCCAACAGTGGTCTTAGCCTCTTTGTGTTGCAATTCCCACATCTGTAAAATGGGGACACCGCTCGGGGTGGTGAGCAGCAAAGGAGATAAGGGATGGAAAGGGCGTGACACAGAGTACTACTCCAGATCCACTGCTGTTGGAGCCAGAGGAGCCTTAGAAGTGAGGGAAAAGGCAAGGGGGAGGAGGGCTCTGGACTGTGCCTCCTTCTGGGGCCTTAAGATTGATTCAATGTTTGGAATGGAAAATGCTCTGGGGAAGCATCGGATACCATCGTGCTTATCCTACCTCAGCCCACACCGTCATGCTCGATTTAATCCATTAATCAGAGACTATTTTTTGGAGCTCCTTTCTGTCTGAGTAATATTGTGTAAAGCAAAGAAAGAGCCACCAGGGACAGTATGTAAAGAAGAGGGCGGGGGTCTGTGGGGGTGGCAATCAGTGAGGGCTACCTGGAGGGGGTGAGGTTTTACCTGGATCTTGGGGACAGCCAGGATCAGGTAAGGAAGAGGGGAAGATAGTCCAGGGGAAGGAGGAGGTAGGTGAACAAAGGAATGCCTAAGGAAGGGGCAGACTTGTCAATGATGGAGAGAGATGTAAATACACAAGGATGCCCCTAATTAGCCTTACTTCATTCACTAGCTCTAACGAAGAGCAGTGGAGATCCACGGCCAATTCTTAGAGGCCCAAAGAGCCACCAACGCTACAAAGAAAAGCCAGGACCACCCTGGGTGTGTGTGTACAGTGGGACAGACAGGCACAATGAACAATCCTGAGTTCAGGGAGAGGAGAGGAGAGAGCCAAGGGCCACCAGAGTGGGATCCTGGGTGGGAGGAGCTCAGGGAAGCTCCGGACCCTCCCTATGGGGATAGGGAGGAAATGTGTCTTTTCGTTCTTCAGCTAATCAGTTGACCCCACGGGGGAATAAGTCAGAGCTCAGGGAAGTATCTCCATGAAATGATTCCTCCATTGCCTGCTTGTGAGGTGGGCTGTACTAGGTCTGTATCAGTGACAGATCAAGCCGCTTGTCCAGGATACCCAGTTGTGGGGGTAACATAGCTTCCCAAAGGCAATGGGGTTGGAGCAGAGAGCCCTGGGACAGACCCTAAGGCTTTGTCCCTCCCTGGAAGATGCTCCTCTCAAGATGCTGGGGTGGAAGGTGCCTACCAGCCTCCTCCCACCCTCTTTGCCAGGCCTCCCACACCAGGAGACCCTCTTCTAGCAGGGGACAGGAGGCCTGGTACTTCCGACTCAAGTTTATAAAGAAAACCTTCCTCATCTGATTGCACTGGCTCTGACACCACATCCCTTCTTCTCTTCTCAAGGGCTCATTTTATTTTGGAGACTTGTAAAATATTCTCTTTTCTTATGAATATGTCTCTGGAGTTATGCTACGAATGACCCTGCTTTAATCTCTCAGCTGTCACTGTGCCATCTGTGAGGTTAATGTCTGAAAGGATGAGAGTTGCCCAACAAAGCTGCCTTCCTGTGTCGACGGTGTTGGGGAATGAGAGGGCTCTTCAAGAGGACATGGGGCTGAGGGGCACCGAGGTGTCTACTGATGATGCTTCTTCGATGGGTTCATGAATATTCAAATGTGCAATTAACACACATGTCTACAAGCCCCAGAACCTGAAACCCACTTTGGAGGGTGGCCTGCGGATTTATTTCTGTGCAGAAAATGGTTCCACAGAGTGGGTCAGCTGCCTTTCATCTGACTCCCTCATCCAATCACGTGCAATTGTTTCTACAGAGTATGACATGCACTGTAAGGAAGGGTTTCCTTCTCTCTCTCTGAAGTTCTTTCTTTCTTTCTCTCTCTTTCTTTCTTCTCTCTTTGTCTTTCTTGCTTTCTTAACTATTCCATTATGGAAAAATTTTAGCCTACATAAACTTACTGAGAATATAGTATATTGCAGTATATTGAGCCACCATGGATTCACTCCCCAGCTTCAGCAATTATTAACCCATGGCTAGTCTTGTTTATCTGTATCATCTCCACCCACCTCTCAATTTCCACAGTTTTGAGGCAGGTACCAGGTGACACATCATTTCATCTGGAAACATTTCAAGAAGTTTCTCTAAAAAATAAGAACTCCTTTTTTTAGAATCTAAAAGCAACATGTATTTACTATCTCACAGTTCTGGAGGTCAGAAGTCTGAAATGAGTCTCATGGGCTAAAATCAAGGTGTTCTCAGGCTTGCATTCCCTCTGAAGGTTCTAGTGACGAATCCTTGCCACTTCTTGCTTTTCCAGCTTCCAGATGCTGCCTGCATTCCCTGGCTCATGGCCACATCATTCTGTTTGTTGTTTCCTTCCTCACATTTCCTTCTCTGCCTGTCTTGCCTACTTGTATAAGGTCCCATGTGATCGCATTGTGCCAACCCAGATAATCCAGTATAATCTTTCCATCCATAGATCTTTAATTTAATCACATCTGCAAAGTCCCTTTTGCCATAAAAGGTAATATATTCTTAGGTCTTGAGATTAGAACATGGACATCTGCCTACCACATCAAGGAAAAAGAAAAATCTCATTTCAGTAATAAAAATGTCAGTCAATGTAATAAACAATACCTGAATGTGATTCCAAAATTCTTTCTCCCCCAATTTACAACTCTCTGGGCTGGAAACCTGTGGGAAACCATTTTTCTGTGTTTTGCTTTCCTTGTGTTACCCAGAAAGCTGGGCTTTAAAATTTTTATTCCTCTTGTATTAAACAGGGAAAGAGGGCAGTAATATTGGGCTGAGAAGTTCTTACTTGACTTCTACTTTAGTGATCTGCTGCTGGCTCTCTGGCTTGGTGGGTAGTTAGAGGTAGTTACTTCTCTTGAGAACTTTGTGGGTCCCTCTGAGATTATCTTGCTGAGA